ACGATATTATGATCATTGTATAAATTTACAATAACATTGTTATAATATGTTTTACTGCTTTTCTACGCATTGCATTAGTATATTTTTTATACTAATAATAGTTGCAAGACATCTTAAATATAATTCAAGTAAAAATAAAATATTTAACTTAATTAGTCAAAGTGTCGATCAATTATTACCATAAAGGTGTCCGCTATTCTATATGGCGTATGGCACCTTTATCACTTGTCATTTCGACGTGCCTGAGCGCGCGAAATCTCAGCCCTGTTATTAGTGAAATATAATCGCTTCCCGTTTGAAAACTATTATAGCCTCGACATTTTTGTATGAAAGTTTTCGTTTTAAAATGTTCTAAAGAATCTGCCATTAAAATAACATCCGGTAGTTTCGGGACACCATATATTAACAAATCAATTAAATAATTTAATTATCAACTATCAATATTAATTCAATTATCAATAATTAACAAAATAATTATATATATTAACAAATCTTTTAGCTATCACAACTAAATAACTTTTACTAAAGCAAGAAAATTTGTTCCTGCAGTTAATATTTTTAGTTGTCCATATATTAGCAAATCTTTCTTTTCCGTGGGACATCTAGTCCCGGTTTTTCCTATACATAATAAGTAGTGGTAGTATCTTTCAAATATACAATTAACTATACATTATAGTTAATTTAATGCGACGTGGCAATATATTATAAGTATAGTGACCGTCATCCATTACATTAACGGACATTACATTTACGTCATTTATTAACTTTAACGACTTTGTCTCACGTTAACGTCTGTCAGACGAATTGCGTCGCGATTGGCACGCACTTTAATTTCAATGAAAGCACGGAGAGTCGTACATTGTACTCTCTCTTCCGCGGTTCTCTCGCGGTTATTAATAAAAGCGTCCATGTCGCGTATCACGCTGCGAAGCTATTGCGCTGGTTTCTTCCGCGGCGAGGCTGTCTCACGGCCTGCAATCAGTCGGTGAATCTTCGTCGAGCTAATTAGAAGCGAGGGACGAAAGGGTTCCTGGTTAAGCAGTAGCTCGCGCGGAGGTGGCGGATCCTAATTCGAGACTTTCTCGCTAATGAAACCTTCTCACCTACCGGTTGTGTTTTCGCGCACAGAAGAAATTCCCGCGCTACGACACGTCGTAGGGATTTCTTTCAACGCGAGAAAGCGGAATATCGACTCCATTCAACTCGCGATCGATATTTTTAGTGTTGGATCATATTTATAGTGCTGGGTAATCACTAATGAATTAGTTGAAAATTAAGTTAAAACGTTAGAAAGTTAATAACTTTTAATTTAACTTAGCTAATTTTCAATAAGTCAACTTTTAATTTAAACTACTTATTTTTTTAATCGTATTAAACTTATTAACCTTTTTTATATAATTTAAAATAATTCGTCGATATTAAAATTATTACAAGCTGCTTGCAATATAATATAAGAAATATAAAAAATAATGTCAGGAGAATTTTTTCGTCTCTCTGAACTTCAATATTCTTTTCTTATATGGAATTATGAGTTAATACAAAATGGCAATATACTTCTTATAAAGGACTATTTTTTTAATATTCTATATAAATTGGATCTATGATTAAATAATAAATTATTAAAAAATCATATAATATAGCTTTACATAATTAATTTTTAACTTTAATGATTTAATTCAATTTTGACTTAACTTTTAATTAAGTTAGTTTTTGTTCATACAAGTTTTAACTTAACTAAGTTTATAAACTATTTTTATAAGCTATTTTTATAAATTATTTCATAAGCTACTTTTATAGGCAAAACTTATTAATGTAGAATATTGTAAATTATATTAAAATATAACAAAAAAGAACAACTAAATTATGAGACAGTTGTCGTATCCACTTTGGATATTAATTATAAATATAATATATAAAAAAAAATAATAAATTGCATGAAATTTTCATTTCAATAATTTCAATGTGACAGATGAATAGATTTAATAATTTGGAAATAAGGATGTAACCAGAAAATTTTGTGGATTATATTTGTATAGGAAATAACATTTACAAATTTACATCAGAACTCTAAAGTAAATCCACAATCAGAACATTTAATGAACTTTTGAACAAACCATACGTTTTAAACGACATCCATAAATTACTTATTGTTTACATAGATGCCATCTTATACCGAGTTTACTTCTCTCCCCCTCTCTCTCTTTTTCTCTCTCTTTCTCTTTTATCTCTCTCTCTATTTTTCTCTTTCTCTCTCTCTTTTTCTCTTGTATGTAAACGTCGAATATCATAATTATCTCAATCGTAATAATGCAAACGTGTAAACGTTCAACTCTGATTCAAACTGACTTTTATTAAATTATTCTTAAGCTAATTAACAATTAATTAATTGGCAAAGTTGCTAGCATGGAAAATAAAATGTATTTTGTTGTTAAAGTAAGTAAGAAAATTCTCATGTTTTCTTTTTATAACTTATATTATAAATATTATGATAATAAACCAAAACATATTTTTGAATTTCTCACATGAGTTTGTTACAATGATTAAAATTATCACAAATTATATTTACTGCTGGTTCTTAAAGGTTTTATTTTTATTTATTGTTTGTGTGTATATATCTCTGAAAGGCTATTATTTTATTTATTTCTTACATTTAAAGTTGCTATCAGTCAAATATTACGTATTCTACTTTATTGGCACATTAAATTTGTTTTTCTTGTCATTGTTGGGTTGTTATTGTTGGGTAGGGAAGGTATATAGTTAGAAATTGCTGTTGGCAATTATGCCGTATTCAATGATCTTGCATTCAACGGAAATTATTTAAATATGAGAAATAAGTTAGATAAATATTTAGCAAACGCCGCGAATACTGAATATGTTTTTATTTAATAAATATAGATAACAGAGACAGAATTTATATCTGAACTATTTGTAAAATTTTTAGTAAAAAGTTTTTAGTGGAAAATCTCTCTGTAGCGCCCATCCAGATTAAGGTCATAATAATTCGTAACAGAAGCTAAATTTACCTGCAGATATTGCTAGAATACTGCTGCTAAATTCTACGTATCCCAGACAATTTTCTAACAGATACAAAATCAACAATAAATTTTAACTTTGATATTTAAAATCCTACCTGGAAACATTTTTTTGAGTGCTGTTAGTTTTATGAATTAGTTTAATCAGACTTTGGTGAAGGAAATCAGCCTCATTCTCATGCATAAAACGATTGAAGAAAATTTTTGCGAAGACGTAGAGTCAAAAGAACGGGTGGCTATATTTGCGTATCGCGTATCGTGATGCCGCGTTGCATGACGAAAGTCATTATCTTAATACTCAGAAATGCCATGTGTCTCAAAGAGGTAGTCGGCAACCGACACGATTCGATAACTTTCCGGGCAGCCGGCGGGAAAAGCCGAAAAAAGAAGGGCATGTCCGAGACGCTTGTTATTTTCGCCCGGAAACTCTGCGTGAATCCTCTGCGGACTAGTTGTAACTGCTCGTCCACTCCGATTCCTATGTTGCAGGGTAATGTCGTTTACGTAATCTCGCGATACGTTGCCAATGCAGCGGAAGATGAGCTTTGCATAATGCGCGAAAACGGTGAGACTCGTCAATTTGTGATTTGTTCTTTGCAACTGGATTAGTTTGCACTAGTCCTCTTTCTCTTTTTTTTTTTTACACCAAGTCATAGCTATATGCCTGTTTTTTTAAGTTTTGAAAATATGTATTAGTTCAGTTACAAAGAACAGACCTTCGATTAAAGTATCGCCGCATCGAGTAAACGCGCGAAATTCAAGCAGAAGGAGGAGTAGGAACGCTTCCTGAAAAAACGGTACCGACCGAGTATTCGGGTGGCTCTGACTCTGACTTGGAAAAGGACCTCGTGTCGGGATGCAACATACTGTGACGGTCGTTCATCATTGCAGATTTCCGCGTATCGCCGCGTAATATCGTATGGTGCGGTGTGAATAATTAGTTTCCGCGAGAAGCTTGTGCCGCGAAAGTTTTTACCACGAGAGGAAGAAAGAGGGAGAGATTTTATTTTTTCTTAGAATGAAACATTTTTGAGGTCACAGTGGAATAGAAGCCCTAATGATATACAAATAGTAGTGGAGTAACGCATAATAAGCAAAAAGGAGCACACAAAAAATGGATACAAAAGAAAGTTTGCATTACAAAGTAGTAAATGCCCTATAATTAATTAATAAATAATAATATATAATAGTTATATAATTATTATATAATAATATATTTTAATATATATTAATATATAATAATATACATGAATATAATAATATACATGAATAGTAATATATAATTATATTATTATATTATGTTATACAAAATGTCCTATTTTAATCTATTATCTCTTCTATTTTCGCAGAGTAATAAAAGTATGTAATAAAAGTTGTTCAGATAAAAGTTGTGTACTGAAGTTGAGTACTGAAGGAGTGATCTTTTTTGACTTTGGAGGGGGGATCAAAATCAGAAAGTCACAGTAAAAATCTATGTAATGACTTTGCATAACAAGCGGGAAAGACTCGAGTTTGATTTCAGTCGTCATCCCGAAAATTTTTTCCTCATATGATTATTAAAAATAGACCTGTATAGGTACGAGAGGGAGCCCCGGCCATGGTCTGATCTTTCTTTCCATACTATATAGTTGTGATATTAACAATTGTACAAAAAATAAAAATTAGGAATCGATACTGGCCCAGTACTAGGAGTAGGTACTTCCCCAGTGCTAGGAATCAATACTTTTTTTATACTGGCACAGTAAATAATAATATATAATTTTCGGTATTGGGACAGTACTGTTTTCTGATACTGGCCCTTTTCTAACATCCCAGTATCATACCAATACTAAACCCGTATTGGCATCTACTATGCCTGTAACGTTTACCATAAATCAGAATTGGGCCACTTTGATGTCAGTAGTAAATTCCTACTTGAGTGTGTATATATATATTGTATATATATATATATATATATATATATATATATATATATAAAAGCAAGGATAAGATAATAATAATAATATTAAAGCAAAGAGAGAATACACTCTCTTTTTCTCGCGAACGCATGTCCATCCTTTCTTTTTTCGCGTTCTCTCCGGAGCGTATAATTTACGTTTCGTACCGGCGAATTGGCATTGTGAACGCCACCTAACACAGTAGCCTGTTGTTAGACGAGAAGGTGCCAAGGAGCAAGGGAAAAACTGCGGGAGAGAGAAAGCGAAGCAATTACTTTGGTTCTCCGTTTAGATCGTTCGAGGAGTTTTGTTATTATCTTTTTTGCAGGGCATTAAAGTCGGTCGCCACGTCAGATCCATACAGTCCGGCCCGCTTTTCCCACGGTCAGTCAACACCCGGCAATTCCGATCGATCGTTTCCTCGCGTAAAATCGTTTCCCTCGTAACCGCTCGCCCCGGAGTCCACGATCATCGATTAGCCGGGCTCGTGCTTTTGCAAGCGCGTAATAACGCATCGAACAGCCATGAATGCGAATAGACGAGAGTATCGAGATTTGCGAGTTTCCCGATCGATCGCAAATGAAAATCGACAGCTGGAAACTGAAAGCGCATTCGTACTGTCAGATATTAAAGGTTGCAACACTTTCCTCGACGAGTTTCGCAACGTCTTCCGCATTCAATAGAATAATTTGCTTTTCAATCATTCTCAGGAGATACACTCTCCTGTTGGATGTAGGATGCGTTGTGAAACTCATCGAGGAAAAATATTGTAACTTCTTCGAGTCGATTTATCAATATACATATATATATATATATATGTGTGTGTGTGTGTGTGTATATATATATGTATATAGTAATTTAAACTTAAATTCTATATAATAAATTTAAATCTAAGTTTAAATTTCAATTTTGGGATTTAAGCGAAGTTTAAATGTAGATATAAGTTTAAACTACTGAAGAATCGGCCTTTAATCAGCTGACAGTAGGAAAAGTATTCTCCAACACAACAATAATCACGCGATCACTAGAAATGGACACTTCAAGCGAACATTGCGTGCGGCATTGCGCTGAGAAAGAATCACTCATCAAGATCTCCGGATATCGCCGTGCCGAGTATCGAGATCTACCACATTTAGCGCGCCTGACACATCCGACGACTCACGAAGTCTTCGGAGATGTCCAGCTGGAGAGACTTTAGTACTTACCCGGAGCAAATTCTCGCTGGCTCGGCCGGCTACTTTATTGTATCGGTGCAACGTAAATCGACTTCCTCTCCGCGCTTGTCAGTATACCGTTATGTAAAATTCGCAGCGAGACTTCCTGCCTCTCGGTGGTCCAGTATAACGAGGAAGACAATGTCGTTTCGGGGATATGCCTCTGCAATTACCCCAACATTCCGTCTGTGCCTCCGGACGATTGGTTGACTTGGTTAAAAATGGCTTACAGGTAATCTTCGTGTGTCCAGGATGACGCCTTAATAGGATCTCGTGACAGTTACGATCGCCGTATCTCAACTCTGGATTCTTATCCTTTGCGAATACCGAGCGAATTGTTAGCTTAACCCAGACAGCGTAAATGTCTAAAAGACCTCTTAGGCCTGCAGTAATAGTCATTTGAAACTTGTCTCGCGTAAGATCATAGACTTATATACATAGCCTGAGCATTCCACAAGAGGCTGCGGAGACTTGACCAGAAAAGGATGTCCTGTTAGTGCAAGCATTTGATCTTTGTCTAGCTTGACTCCTATTACAGCTAGCTAGCTAGGCAATAGCCTATGTTCTGGATTCTTTTTTATCATTAAAAGTGTCTCTAAAAGTGTCTTTAAACTCATAGCCAATCAGAAAGCTTATAAGCCACTTTTAGAAGCATTTTTAACGATAAAAGAGAATTCAGAATATGGGCCAAAGTCAGGTTAGACATAGATCGAGCGATGGATAGTGGAAGGGGAATACAGCTGTCCTTCAAATCTTGTCTTCAATCTCTCATAAGAAGACCTAGTCTATATATACAAGTCTATGCGTGAAATACGCAGATCTAAATTTAGTTTCTGTTGAATCACTTGATATATGTGATATTTGCAATTCCACTGTAAAGACTTACATTTAAATTTTAATTTATTAACTCAAATTTAATTTAAAATCTACGAGATCCCCCAAAAGCTTAAGTTCAATAATTTAAACTTATATTTATGAGGTCTCAAAAGTTAAAATTTAATCATTTAAACTAAAATTTGAGTATCTAATTCGAGACAAATTTTAAATAACAAGTTTTAAATAGCAATTCTATTATAATATTATACGGATCTTAGAGACGTCTAAAAGACATCCTACTTATTTCAAAAATCTTTAAGTGGCTTTGGTCTATATCAATAATTATTATTTGAAACTTGTTTTATATGATATATTCAAATTTGAAATCTGAATTTAGAGATAGATTTGAGTTTTTACTTGAATTATATATGTGATACTATATATTTGTAATTACGATTTAGCTGAAAAATTTGCATCTAATTCTAAAACCCGTTTTAATTAAGACCTGTTGTCACTTAAAATTTGTTTCATGCGAAATACACAAATTTTTATTCAAAGTTAAATCCAAGTTTTTCAGTTGAATTATATACAAAGTGTCCTAGTTTTCGTAACTTTAATTTATACTGATAGGTTCTCTAAGTAATTTAGAGTTAATTTTTCCTCAGCGAAAACGCTAAAATACCAATACTTTCTAAGATACAAACGATCCAAAAGTATAGAGCTTTTCGCGAACTAAATTTCGAACAACAAAATAAATAACAAAGTTGTTTTCCTTTGTCAATTTTAAGAATTTTATTTTGATTTATTTTATTTTTTAACCTTAGTTAAAAACATCTCTTATATTGGAAATTGAGAATCGCCAATAATGACTTTCTTCCACATTTACGATGAGGAAGAATTAATTCTAAATTACTCAGAGCACCTATAAATTAAAGAGACGTCCTGTATGTAACATTTACATCTATTAGGACCTTAACTTAGTTTCCGCCCAAAAAATACTGAGAAAAAGCATTTATTGTAAAAAATTTATTTAAATTATTTCAATGAAAGTATTTTCCATCACTTTCTACAACTTTTTGCCATCTTTCTGGCAACTGGGCGATACCATCTCGATAAAACGATGTTTGTTTCGAAGCAATCCATTCGTCCACCCATTCTCGCACTTCTTCAACATTTCGGAAGCGTG